GCAGGAATCCCAGCTCCGGAGGTGGGAACAGACCCAAGAGTCAAAGCCCCGCACTGTTCATGCAGTGACTCGCCTGCAGAGCAGGAAGGCTAAAGAGGGGGGGTTAGAGAATCCCCAGGAGAAAGCCACACCATTGGCCGCAGGGGAAGGGACCCCTGCAGACAGCGATTGCACCCTGGTCCCGGAGGGAACCGGTAACCCCGAGGGTGGGTTAAGTGACAGTCCCGGGGAGGGGTGTATTCCATCAGTGGCAGAGGGAGGTGACACTAGCGGGGAGGAGACCCAGGAAGTCCCTGTGGGTGAGTGTGCACTCCCTGCTGATTGCCTAGCTGGGCAAGAGGAGTTCAAGCGGGAGGTTCGGGAGGACCCCAGCTTGGAGGGACTCCGGCAGATGGCTCAGGAGCAAGAGACTGAGTTCACTCCGGACAAGAGGGAACAGGTGGTCTGGGATAAGGGGCTTCTCTATCGGTTGTGGGTGCTGAAGAACCATGCCGAGACTTGGGAGCCCCAGCGCCAGCTCATAGTACCCCGAAAATACAGACAGCAATTGCTTGCCATGGCTCACGATCTACCGTGTGCAGGTCACATGGGCAGGGAACGGACACGCCAGCGATTACAGGTGAACTTTTTTTGGCCCAGAATTGCCCAGAATGTGACGGACTATTGCAAATCTTGCGAGACATGCCAGCGGATGGGCAAAAGCGGGGACAAGAGAAGGGCTCCCCTGCAGCCCCTCCCGATCATCGACCAACCCTTCCACAGGGTGGCCGTGGACATTGTGGGACCGCTGAAGCATAGGACTCGTAGGGGAAAGAAATACATACTGACTCTAGTGGATTACGCAACGCGGTACCCGGAGGCTGTTGCCTTGACCTCCATCGAGGCACCCGTGGTTGCTGATGCCCTCATTAAGGTCTTCTGCCAGCTGGGTTTTCCCTCCGAGATCCTGACGGACCGGGGTGGGAACTTCATGGCGGAGATAATGGAGTGCCTGTGGGACTGCTGTGGGGTGCAACACCTTAAGACCACAGCCTACCACCCTCAGACAAACGGGCTGGTGGAAAGGTTCAACGGGACATTGAAAGGTATGCTAAAGGCCTATGTGGACTCCAACCCCAATGACTGGGATGAGAAACTGCCACAGTTGCTCTTTGCCTACCGGGAGGTGCCCCAGGAGTCCACTGGGTTCTTGCCCTTCGAGCTGATGTTCGGGAGGCGAGTTCGAGGTCCTCTCGATTTGGTGAGAGAGGCGTGGGAAGGGAAGATCGCT